ATTAAATTAAATACATGAGCTTATATGCCTCAGCTGTCTTGTTTCCTTTCTTATTCAGAGTTGCCAGCAAATGATGTAACTTTCTTATTTGCAAAGTCCTTCACCTTATTACCTCTCTCTTTTCCCTGGATTTGAAACATCTTTGCTTTTAACTCTAACTTTTCTATTTTTGTTCAGCCTTTCTGCTTGAGCTTAACTTCTGTGCCATCTGTCTGCCTCCTTGATCTCACTTGCATTTTGTTAAGCACCTTTAAGGTGAGAAGAACATCTAAGCCAACTTCTTGCGCGATAAATTTACTCTATTCTAATTGACAGCTTCGCTCAGCCTTGTAGACTCAGTTAATTTTTTCTCAGCAGCTATCTTTTCTTTTTGCGTCTCTGTTTTTCTGTGCACTATCACCTTACTGCAGAGCCCTGAGCTTTGTTCTGTCCTCTCACTGCAAACGATATTCCAGGTACCTAAGGACCTAACAAGTACTCTGGTCACTAGCTGACTCTCAGAAGGCTGTGAGGACAATTCACCTGCACTCTTTCCTCCCTTCCATTTCTGAAATCCAATCTTTCACCTCCTTATGAGGTTTCCTTTGAAATGGTTCTCAGGTTTACCTTTAACCCTGCATCCCCATGGTAACCATTGTAGTCTTTGCCTTGTAATCAACTGGATTATTGCAATAGCAGCCCAGCTGGTCGCTTGGACTTCAGTGTCTTTTACTTCAGTGTCAGCCCACTAGTTCTCTATCTTTATTGGGCGTACATCACCTGTGGTGCTTCTTAAAATGAATAGCCCCAGGCTCTATCCCAGAGATTGTGATTCACTAGGTTTAGAATGTCATTGTTGTTGTTGCCATCCAGCCAGTTCTGACTCATAGCAACCTTGTTGTTGTTGTTGTTATGTGCCGCGGAGTCAAACCCGACTCATAGCAACCCTATACCCCTATAAAACTGAGTAGAACTAACTGCCTCATAGAGTTTCCTGGGTTGTAATATTTTTGAAAGCAGATTGCCAAGTTTTTTCTCCTGTTGAGCGGCTGGTGGGTTCTAACCATCAACCTTGCTGTTACCTGAGTGTTTAACGACAGCATCACCAAGGCTTAACCCAGAATCTTCATTTTAAGGAATACTCCAGAATAATCTGGGGCATGTAGTTCACAGTCCACACATAAAGAAGCAATGCTTAGCCAGTCCAATGCACACTGATGTGGTAGTTCAGTTTGTGTGTCAACTTGGCTGGGCCTGGTTTAGTGGCTGGGCAGCTGGATGTAGTATTCCCCATGATGAGACTCGTAGTCAACTCCATGGAGGAATCTACTGTGAGGAGCTGCCTTAGGGAATGTGGTCTGCTTCCTGTATTTAATCAGAAGCCTTGGGGAATGGTCTATAGCTTATGGCACACTTGGACCCTGCATGTAGCCATGTCGTTGTTCAGCAGCAGCCTGCCATGCTCTGCTGACCTTGGTAACATCGGGACTGTGCCTTTTTACTTGTCAACCTTGGGCTTAGAAGCCTCAGCAGGCAGCAGCTGAGTGAAGAAAACCCTCTACCTTCAGTGGGTCGGGAGCTGGAGGCAGAGCTGAAGCCAAGGCTGAGGGCCTTTCATCCAGCCCCTAGAGCCTGGCACTTTGAACTTGGACTTAAAGCCTCCAAACTATAAGAGAATAAACTCCTGTTTGTTAAGGCCATCCCATTTGTGGTATATTCCTGTCAGAGCGGCACTAGGTAACCAGAACACTAGGTGATAATTTGGTACCTGCCTCACTATAGGAACTACAAACATTTTTCTTTTGGACTAAATGTATAAATCCTTTATATGATACTCAGATGAATTTTCCTCCCCAAATTACTTTTCCCATACCTCTTTGCTGCATAAGAAGGAGCTCTGGTGGTGTAGTGGTTAAGGCATTTGGCCATGAAGTAGAAGGTCAGCAGTTTGAACCCACTAGCAGCTCTGTGGGAAGAAGATGAGGCAGTCTACTTCCATAAAGATTTATAGGCTTGGAAACCCAATGGGGGTCACTGTGAGTCAGAATTGACTCCAAGGCAGTGAGTCTGGTTTTGTTTTTTGCTTCTTAAGAGTCTACAAAAAAATATAAAAATTTCTAAATGTTATGTTCAAATTCCCCAGTCTGGTTTTCAAGGCTTTCCAAAATCTGATCCTATCTACCCAGTGAGCACAGCCCATCTCCAGTAGGCTGGCATTTTCACTGTCCTATGTTCTATCTCTATGGGTCTTGACTGAGAAGATACATATAAGGAACAATATTGTGTTTCACATTCAAGGACTGAAGCAAAGACCAACGTGAAATAAAGAATGAGTAGTGAAGTTGATAACCTAGAAAGTAATGACCAGGACAGCATGAGATCTGAAGATGAATTTGTTTCAAATGATGCCTGATCCTGAGATTTAACTTCTCAGTGACTACAATATTACAGTAAGTTATGTCTCTTCTGTCTGTCTTTTTTTCCAACAATTTGCCTACCTTCTCTTTGTTTGGACTATTTTTCTCTCTTGCTAACTCTCTTCATTCAGAAAACTTCTGTTTATCCTCACTATTTCAGCTCAAGTGTCACTTCTGGGAAGCCTTCTCTGACCTGCACTCTCTCTTTATCCCTCAATTTGCTAGAATTTCTCTGGTGTACATCCTCATGGATTCTTGTTTTCCTTGAAAGCACTCATGTTGGCTTGTAACTCTAAAAATATTAATGTGTATTATTCAATTACTCTCCTTTTGATCCAAGGCTTTAAGTTCCAGTGAGAACATCTCACCATTGAATCTTCAGTGCCTCTCCCAAGGAAATATATAGTAGAAACTCAAATAATTGTTGAAGAAGAAAAAGAAAACTAGCCCTTTTTCTTCACCACTTAGCCTGCTGTTGTGGTTAAGATCTGATTGAGCAATGTAATAACAACTCAGGCTTATCACTTACTGCAGTAGCTCAACTTGGTAATTCTGAGGTAGATAACACATACAGTAGAACACTTGCAGCCAGGCAGGGCCCAGCTCACCAACATGCCCACAGACTGCCAGAGAAATGAAACTTGGCTTTTCAATATGCTTCCCATTTTTCTCCCTGAACACCTCATTCCCCAGGGCCCAGATGCTATGTTGATAGGGTTTCCTGCTTTATAGAATTTTTCCACTTAGCGCTCAATCTTTGGTCTTTTTCTGTATCTATCTATATCTGTATCTATATATTTACTCAACAACAACAAAGTCCTATACAGGTTCCTATTTCTCATTTACCAACTGCCTGTTTGTGGCTTTCATTCTACCAAAACAATGTTTTTTTGAAGCTGCCAGTGACTTGCTAATATACAGTTACGAAGAATCAGTTAAGAAAAGGAAAAGGGATTCTACTGGAAGAGGTAACATCCCACAGAGAGAAGAAAATTCTGCATTAGGTACTTGACATTTTCAGAAAATATGCTTGAGGTTCATACTTAAAGACCGAAAAGCTTTTCCAAAAGTATTTTAAGGGACAAATTTTTAAGACAATGCTTTTAGAATCTAGACAAGAAGACTAGAGGCATTGATAAACCATAGTGGTTTTCATACATTTATTCAACCAATATTTCTTGAGTGTCTACTAGGTATGGTTTTACATGCTGGGATTACAGCAGCAAACAAAACAAACAAAACAACTAATGAAAAAGTCTCAGTTTTTATGGAGCTAACATTTTGGTTGTGAAGGGAGATTTGAAACAAATAAATACAGGTACATAGTAAGTCAGATACATGGTTAGATGATAGAGCTTATCTATCATCAGGGGAAGAGCTTATTTTTTCTGACATACTCAGTTCATGTCCCATAAGAATTTTTATTTTTCTTAATAGTCTTTTAATGCTCTTTTTAGGTTGGATAATGACTTTATCTGAATTTAGTCCTTAGAAAAAAATCATGGAAAACTTGGCTTTCTTTTTCCAAACAGCAGAACTGAGGTTTATTTAGCTCTCTTTGGTGGGATATTTCCCGAAGTTAGTAATAGCTTTTCTTTGTCTGCTGCCTTGCTAGGGAGTGGTAAGGTACTTAGGAAGCATCAGAAATAAGACCTTATTAAAAAACGATGACAATAATGGGGATGGATTGGGTAGGAAAGTGAAGGCCACTAGGCCCTTACATATGAGAATTTCCAGTGTGAACTAAATTCCCCACACTCAGAGACTAGGCAATGTGCTGAAGCCAAAACACAGTGATTTCAACCGACAATAAAACATACTGGAAGGGGGATTCTTAGGCATCAGACTGAACTATGTTACCAGGGAGAGGCTATGGAATCTCCTTCTCTGTCAGTCTCTAAGAATGAAGTAACTTAACTGTCTGGTGCACTTAAGAAGGATCTATTCCTGAAGACAGATGGCCTGGGATTTCATCCTAGGATTAAATGACTGTTTCCTCTTCTATACTCTTAGATCTCTGACCATATTTTAAAATGCTTTTTTTTTCACTGCTTACATTTCCTCCTCTGCTTATTCCTTCCATAACATTCATTGCTCCATTTAGAAGCTAAATTTATGCTCTTAACCACTTTATCACACAGCCACCCAGAGAGGCAGTAAAGGACTAGCACCCAGGTTGACTGCCTTCTGCCTGGGCTACTAAACTCCATGGGTCCTGGGATCTTTACTTAAGGCCTGCCTCATGTTGAAAAGCCAACACAAATCCAATCTGTGCCAACTTTTTTTCTTCAGAAAATGACTAAGTGTGGCTCAAGCATAGTTAATAAAATAGCAGCTGAGATGAGCCTGTGACTCATCCGTCATACCCTAGTCTCTCTTTTACTAATCAGTTATGAGAAACATTTCAGAATCAAAGAGCAGCAGCAAAGAAATATGAGACACTCAGACTTCTTGAGGCAATTAGAGACTAAAGAGCAGAAGGCAAATCAGTCTTCCTGCCTTGACAGTCTTAAAATACATAGTGAAAGTAGACTTTGGAGTCATACTATTTGCTACAGACTTTGACCATAACACATTTTCTAAGAGGAAATAAAAATTACTCACTTCAGGACATGCATTCCACCCTCGCATCAGCAGAGATGATATGGGCTTGGGGATGGAATAGCCAATGGGAGGTCTGATATGGTGGTAAGCCATGTCTGCCGCAGCAGCAGCTGCAAAACAAATGGTCACATCAAAGTTTTGGAATCCACATATTTATTTCAAGAAACATACAAAAGGACTCCAACAAAGTCATCAAACTCAATCTGTGGGATACTTGTACACCAATGTTCATTGCAGCACTATTCACAATAGCAAGTAGAAGCAACCCAAGTGTCGATTAACAGATGAATGGATAAACAAAATGTGGTATAGACACACAATAGAATATTTATTCAGCCATAAAGAGAAGTGAAGTCCTGATCCATACTAGGACATGAATGAACCTTGAAAACTGAGTGAAATAAGCCAGGTGCAAAAGAAGAAATATTGTATGACCCCACTTATGTGAAATATCTAGAACAGGAAATTTAATTAAGACAGAAAGATTAGAGGTTACCAGGGACTGGAGGTGGGGAAGGTTTAGGGATTAGTGCTTAATGGATAGAGAGTGAAATGAAAAAATTTTGGAAACAAATAGTGATGTTTATTATTTTATCACAATAATTATATATTTTTTTTGTGTGTGTGTGCGTGTGCATATCAATCTGTGCAATATCAGATGACATTAAAAGAGATCTCTGTGCTTGTGTTTTTTAGTGATTTAAACAAAAAGGTGGCTAACTTGAAACTATGACTTTATGTTTATAATTGTTTATTCATTTGATTATTCAGTCAACAAATACTGAAAAGGGGGAATTTATAAAATAACAAAGGAACAATGATCCAGGAGCACAAGAAGGGCAAGTAGTTTTAGAGTGACTAAAGTATAGGGTATGTACAGGATGTTATAGGAAGTAATGATTGAAAGGTAGATTGAGTCAGATGGTCCAATGTCACATACTCCAGGCTAAAGAGCTTAGCTGACATATAGCAAAGAAGGGGAGCCATGAACCTTGCACTTGTGCAAACCTTGCACTTGGGCATAATATATATTTTTAAAGTTAAATCCCATTACTGGTTACAAGGATGTTTGGATTTTTATTTTTAATATTTATATCAAGGAGCTCTGGTGGCTTAGTGTCTAAGGCACGACTGCTAACCAGAAAGCTGGAGGTTCAAACCCACCATGCATTACTTGGAAGGAAGTTTGGGCAATCTACTTCTGTAGTGATACTGCCTCGGAAATCCAAGGAGGGGTTGGTGTGAGTTGGATCCAACTTGATGGCAGTGTGATATCAAACTCACTACCATCCAGTTGATTCTGTCTCATAGCAAATCCCACTGAATTTCCCAGGCAGCAAATTTTTACAGAAGTGGATTGCCCCATTTTCCTTCTGTGGAGTGGCTGGTCGATTTGAACCACCAGCCTTCTGGGTAGCAGTTAAAAGCCTTAGGCACTGCACCACCAGAGGTCCTAATATATGTATAAAACCAGACTCACTGCCACTGAGTTGATTCGGATTCATAGCAACCCCGATTGGGTTTCTGAGGCTATAAATCTTTACTGAAGTAGATTGCCCATCTTCCTTCTGCAGAGCAGATGGTGGGTTTGAACCACTGACCTTCTGGTTAGCAGGCAAATGCCTAATGCACTATGCCAGCAGAGATCCTACCCCAAATTCTTCATTTATTTCAGTTAATTCCACTTATTGATTGAACTCCTCTTGAGTGTTACTTGCCTGCCTGCATTTCTCAATATTAAAAAAACTAGTTGTTATTGAGGCAGTCAGTGTCAGAGTAGTGCTGTGCTCCATAGTTTTTTTTTTTTTTTTTTAATACACACACAACAAAACATACAACATTTCATCAGTTTCTACATGTACACTTTGGTGACATTGATTACATTCTTCAAGTCTTCAAGTTACACATCTATTTTCATTATTTTTCAAGCTATCCCTTAGTAGGTCTATTAATTAATCACTTTTTCAAACATAAACTGCCTAGTCTTTTTTCTGAGGTATCTTTTGATGGCCTTGAACTATTAACCTTTAAGTTAGCAGCTGAGTGCATTAACCATTTGTACCCCCACCGATTCCTTTCTGAATATTAAAAGTTGGTTCCTACTCATAGTGACCCTATGGGACAGAGTAGAACTGCCCCTTAGAGTTTCCAAGGTGGTAATCTTCATGGAAGCAGACTACCATGTCTTTCTCCTGAAGACAGCTCATGAGTTCAAACTGCCAATCTTTCTGTTAGCCGCTGATCACTTAACCACAAGGTTCTTTTTTTTTTTTCCCCCCCCCTGAATATTGCTCTCTTAAATCTCCATTACTGTAGAGTACACATGTGATTCTTGGGGCTTCATTGTAGATTCCTCATTGCTAAACATTTTCCTGTTCTGCACCAAATGGTTTCTATATCCCTCTGAAAGCAAACTTATCGCTATTTTTAAGGAAAACACCATAATATTCATAGTAACCATGCAAGGTATATACTGTTTTCATATGTGTACATGTGGAGTGCATGCATGTGTGTGTGTGTGTGTGTATATATATATACAACTAGTTTTTAACTTATGAAAATTTTATATATAAATAATAGTTGATAATGAGCCACTGTTGTTGTTGTTATGAGTCAAACCCGACTCACAGCGACCCCTCCTTGGGTTTCCGAGGCAGTATCACTATGGAAGTAGGATTGCCCAACCTTCCTTCCGAGGAGTGGCTGGTGGGTTTGAACCGCCAGCCGTCTGGTTAGCAGGCAAGTGTCTTAGCCACTGTGCTACCAGAGCTCCTAATGAGCCACTAGTTGGCACAAATAGTTAAGTGCTTGGCTACTAACCAAAAGTTGATGGTTTGAATAAACCCAGAGGTACCTTGGAATAGAGGCCTGGAGACCTACTTCCAACAAACCTACAGAGCACTGTTCTACTGTGAAATATCTGGGTTGCCAAACGTGCGAACTGACTTGACAACAATTACTTCTTTTCTAACTTAGTAGCTGGTATAGCCAGGAATCAAATCCAGGTTTGCCTGTCTTTTTCCAAAGTCTATACTTTCTTCAGCATACTTCTGATTGAAAATATTTTGTAAACAACACATGAAGCTCTTTCAGTTTCTCAGAAATAATTGCTCCGTACCAGTGGGAGGCTTAAATTCCAGGTCATTGCTGCTTCCTGTCTGCCAGATTGTGGTATCCTATATCTCTGTCTTTATTTTAATAACCTTTGAGATATGACTTACACTGTCTACCTCCCCCTCACCAAAATTTACCCTATTTAAATTATGCTTATCTATTTCCAGTAGATTTTGTGAAATTATATGCAATGCAACTGAATATTTTGCTTTATTATTCAGAATTACTATAATATTTTACCAATTGTAAAATGAATACTTGCCAATGTAGAAATTTAGAAAATGGAAAATTTTACAAAGAATAAAATCTTATTATTCAGAAGAACCAGTGCTAAAATTTTAATGTATTATCTAAGTATTCTTCATACTGTTGAGCTCATATGGGATATGCAGTTATGTAATTCTTTTTCTTTCCTAAGGCTGGTGGGTCTGAAGGTTGAGCAATCTACTTCCATAGTGATACTGCCTCGAAAACCCAAGGAGGGGTGGCTATGAGTTGAGGCTGACTTGATGGCACATAACAACAACAACAACAACAACTTAAATATAAGGATTTTATCAAATTATTAAGACTCGATGTAGGGGGAGGTGAGCACAAAATGATCAAGGCAAAGGAAGACACTAGGCAAAGCCCAACAGTACAGGCAACAGAGATAAATACTATTACATATACAATCCTGCAATAACAGTAGTAATAATCTACAAGTAGATAGACATGCAAGCCGAACTGGTGTGGGAATCCAAATGAAACAAAATCTACAAATACATAAAGTTTTGACAGAGGATATTTCTACTTATGTAATTACATATACTGCAAATATATCCATGAATATAGTAGAGCATACAGGGGACAAAGTTATGAAAACTTCTTAGCCATAATCAAATACCTTGAAGGAATGAGTCACTGGGCCTGGGGGCTCAGGAATATAATCTTAGGGGACATCAAGATCAACGGACACAAGATAGTATACAAAGAAAATGTTTTACATCCTACTTTGATGGTAGCAACTGGGATCTCAAAAAATTTGCGAATGGACATCTAAGGTGTAACTATCAGTCTCTCACTGTCTGCAGCAAAGAACAATGAAGAAAATCAAAGACCTAAGGAAACAATTAGTCCAAAGGACTAAGAGACCACACAAACTTCAGCCTCTATGACCCTGAAACAAGCTACCACTACTGACTAATCTGAAAGGGGTCATATTAGAAGGTCCTAGACAGAATTAGAGAAATACACAGAACAAAACTCAAAATAATAAAAAGACTAGGCTCACTGGTCAGATTAACTCTCGTGGAATCCTCAAGACCATGACCCTAGTCACCCTTCAAGCCTGGACCTGAACTCACCTCTGTTTGGCTCAACTTTCAGCCAAGCAATAGACAAGTCTGTGTTGTTGTTATGTGCCATCGAGTTGGACTTGACTCATAACAACTCCTACTTGGGTTTCCGAGTGGTATCACTACAGAAGTAGATTGCCCAGCCTTCCTTCCGAAGAGTGGCTGGTAGATTTAAATCGCTAGCCTTCTGGTTAGCAGTCAAGTGCCTTAGGCACTATGCTACCAGAGCTCAGGGAGGTACACACTCCTTAGAACAATCAGCCATTTGCCCAAGGATAAAGTTCAAAAGGCAGTAAGAGATAGGTAAGAAAGGAATGGAAATAGGAAACACTGGGAGAAAAAAGGACAAGAGGTTTTATATTACAGACATTGCAATCAACATCATGAAGCAAAATGGATATGAATTGTCAAATGGAAAACTGATTTGCTCTGAAAACCTTCCCCAAATCACAATAAAAAATTAAAAAAAAAAAAAACTCTTAACATTATATGTAATGACTCTGAATTTAGTGTGATTTATTTAATCATTCTCAGTTTTAAGTTGTTACAAATTTGGGTATAAACACTTCCAAGAATTTTTTTTTAAATATGATTATTTTCATAGATTATTTATTTACAATATTTTAAGAACTAGAATAAATGTCTAAAGACAACTACTT